GCGGATTCACGTTCGGCAGTGTCTTAACCATATAAATGTACATTTGAATATACAAAAAAAAGTTGTTTGTATTTTTCCTAGCACTTTTTCGTGAATTTTTACTATTTTTGACCTATTTTTTGAAGTTAGGAAATTCCTGTGATGGGATAGCTCAATTCTGACACCGGATTCGTGATCAGGAGGCAAAAATACTGCGGATGACATATGTCGCATGAAAAGTACAGACAATTTTTTTATTGTGTGGCTGTAAAATTGATTGTTCTAAAATGGCTACTCCAATAAGAAATGTGACATAACATTTTTCATTTCCAATTTGGAGATCTGTCAAATTATGTTAAAAAAATACGGTGTTGCCATTAAAAAAAATAATTTTAGTAGCTACTGGCTAGACTAGAAATCTGGCAAAACCCGAAAGCATTATTTGTAAATTTTTCTTAGTCAAGCTACAACTTTGCATTTGGAAGAACTAGTCTTTCACTTTAAATAAAAAAGTTGGCCTATGTCAGGTTTTCAAAAAACCTTAGTTTAGTTAATTGATCAGTTAAAGTTTTATTAATACCGACAAACATTTTTCGAGATATTTGGGTACTCATGCCATTTTTCAAAAACATTTACATCCTGTACAGAGCCTCCATAAATGATTACAAGCTACGTGACCAGCAACCAACGTTGCGCGGTTGGTAGAGTAGTTTCAATATCTCATGAGCCGCGAAATGCGCGAAAGGCGTGGCGTATTCGCATAATTCTTCTAATAAGCACATTGTGAAAACATTGACTCAGAATTAGACCACGTACCTCATTACAACCAGAAAAGAACTAATGCTCTCGGGCATCGATAAAGTCAACTGGCGAACGTTGTTATATATATTTTTATTGCTTAAATTAAAATGATAAAGAATAGGGCATTTTATTATGATATTTGTAATCGGATCAAAGGCTTGTTTACTCTACGAGAGCTCGAGACAGACTGTGAATAATAGATGTAATGTTTTTAGGACGTAGAATAATTTAGGCGACGGTCGGAATTATGTTTCTGCGCATATGAAGGTCAAAGCTCATAAGATTTTGAAACAACTCTACTACCCTACTAACTAAAAATCCCTAAATCTTAGCGCCGCCAATATTAATGATTCGTTTACAATGCACAATAATAAACCGTCATGTCTACGCTCGAGTTAAAGCGATCGCTAATTGGTTGAATAAAATTTTTAAAATTACATCAATCACCAGCCGATGAAACAGAATGTTGCGTTTTAACGTAATTTTGATCGTATTGTTTTAATAATTTTTAATTTTAACGTAATAAAATTACTGCTCCAAACAAAATTATTGGTCACGTTTCTTGTAATCATTTATGAAGGCTCTGTATAGCGGAAACTAATCTGTGTAGGACATAGAAACCGCCTTTGTCTTTAAAAAATATAAGCGCTGAAAAAGAATAAGTTTTTACCGTTTATTTATGGCGACAAAATCAGAGTTACAAAAATTTTACTGGAAAAACATGTTTTTCATTGCAAATTACAAAATATAACAACAAAGTAAAACTGCAATATTTTAAGGTCGTACTGCTAACTTTATGTATCTCTTGACATATCTGATGTGATTGAGGATATTCCAAGTATAAGATGATAGATATGATTAAATATTGCTTCCAATTTTCTTGTATGTGGACTTTCTCATTGTTTTAAAAAGTTAGCATTTTTAAAGTAACAGTGTTTTTGTACGTGTGTGTAGTTGACCCTTCACTTGTCGAAAACATTAAAAAAGCTATTGTGCTGAAATTTTGTGCTGGATTGTGCAAACTTTATGCTCCTTTTATACTGAATGAAATTAAAAAGAAAAACACAAAAAATGCCACTTTAATATAAAAAAAAACATTCACTTATCTATATCTATACATGCAGGAATATTCGCAGAAAGAAAATCGCCCATTTCTATTTAATTTAAAAAACTTTTTAAGCGATTTTATTTAGATATTTTAAAACAATGCATCCAGCAATATAACACCCCACAAACTATGCCACTGTATAAAAACTACACATTTAACTCCCAATTATTATCATGAGTAAAGTTTGACCAAACATACCATTAACCCTCTGTATAAATATCACGGTCAAGATTTGAAAATAAATTGGCCAAACTTTCAATTTAAATTATGTTGATAAAAATAAAAAAAATACTGTAAATAAACATCAAGAAACACTTCGCTCTAGAGATACGAGATGAAATTTTACAATTCACGTATCTGAAATATTTCTGAATATTTTTGAAGCAGAGTAATGAAACTTGAACTAATGACAAATAGTTATAGTTACAGATCAAATTCAATTCGTTTCGGGGACCCGGAATTTGTGTGTAAAGTTGTGTTAGTGCACTATCAACGTTGCCAGCATGGGCGTAGCTAGGATTTTTGTTTGAGGTGGGCTCAGGACTGCAAGCTGTATGAAGACCTCTAAAAAAAGGGCGCGCGCGCCCAGTCAACGACTTACCGATATAAAATTTCAAAAACCTAAACAAATTTTGATTTGATTCTAAAAAAGATCATGCAGTCAGCGACTTATAATGATATTATTGGATCTTTCTTTCTGGGGTGGGCCATGCACACCCCTGCTCATGGTTGACAATTGTTTTTAAATCAATCTACATTGTATAATTTTTACACCCTACACGTGACGACGTGTTATTTGAGAGTCGCCAAACACAGCTGTTCAGTTATGGTATTCCTTGCTTTTGAAAGCGAGGAAGAGCCGACTGTCCTTGCACCTGATTGACACAGGAATGACCGAAACCTGCAGTGTTTCATTTGGTTACACATTTTTTTAGTCTTCGACTTTATCGATTTGAGGAAGGTTGCACATAAAGTGTCTTTATGTGATGTAAGTGTATAATCTCGATAAAGTTATTTATTTCAGTGTTCCATGATGATACAGTGAAATTTTGTGTCTTAATTTCAAGTTTTTTGCATTAAGAAAACGTTTTTATATGAATCAAGAAAGAGCTTGATATGGTTAGAACCTACTTTTTGTCAGGAGCAAAGAAAACTACATCACATAGATTACGCTGACTTATTATAAGTACCGAATAAGAAAATGTTTGTCAGATTAGTTCAACATTTAAGAGACAATGGGATCTTTGAATCAGAAATTTTAAACGCCGTGGAAGAGGATACTGGTATAGTCTTTCCAAAGTCAGTTGAACATGCAAAAAAACGGCCTGGCAATAAAATTTCATGAGTTTCATAGGCGTCCCTAAAAAAGTTTCCAGCTAAAGGTAAAAAATTATAATAATTTGTATATAATATGTAGAAAATTTATATTATATGTTCATTTGGTCAACAACATATTTTAATTATTTATGTCCTTAAACAATTTTATTATATTGGTGGTAAATTTCGTTTTGTTCCGTTTCAAAAGGTTTCCAAAATGCCATGTTGTGATAATATTAGTAAACAAAATATCCCTCTTATTTCTCCCTTTCGCAATTGTAATATGAATGATTGATAAAAGGTGCCTATAATAAATTAAAATTACCTGAAACACACCAAATTCCGCATTGCTGCACTGCACTGCTGGGAAATTTATCAACCAGTTGTCAACTGCTGAGATTTATTGCCTAGCAGCCCAATGCAACTGTGTTTGTTTTCCTTTGCCCGCGCTCGCATTCTTCAACTGGTCGTATACATTTCTACCACCTCCACGTTTAGTTCGACCAGACCTGTATATGGGTATGGCTAAATAAATATGGGAACAAGTTTTTCAAATATTTCAATGCCGAGTTGCTGCGTCAGCGACCGAATCTGGTACATACTGTCAATCTGTTGGTTCTTCATTTGATATCGGAAAGACTATACCAGTACTCGAAGATCTGCCACAAAACTAGTGTTATGTATAAATATCAGGTGAGTAAACAGATTGTTTATTTTGTGTATTTCATTTATCATTATTGATTACTGCTTGAGTTTTCTGTTAGATTACTTGTTAAATAAATACTCTTTCATAGTTAATCTTATTTAAAGGAATTAAACTTTAGTTTTTGTGGGACGATAGTGCTCGTGGCGAACACCCACTCAACAAAATTAACGTGCCAAACCTCACGGCGAGTGGTGTGGAAATTTGCTTTTTAATAAGTTTTCCTTTAAAAAGTAGATTTGACAACATTGCACAGCCCAGTTCCCCATTGTGCATGGCCTGCAACTAAAACGCGCTGTAGTTTGAAGTTACACTAGCTTGTCCAACGGCGGGTTGCGAAAAAAGGGTAAAAAAAATTAAGGTTTCACGACGGAATTAGAAAAAATAAATTGTTGATACATGTTTCTAAAGGTCAAAGGAAGCCTCCATATAAACATGACCCCCACTCAAAGTTACACCCTGTATATTTTGTGAAATGAACCATATTTGTATTATTTTCAATTTATTTAACTGTGTGTCAAGGGTATTTTATTGTAGATAAAAAATATCACAAAAGTAACTCGTTTTACAAACAAAATGGATAGTACATTGTTCCTTTGAAATACAACTGCGCATCGAATGAATTTATTGAATATCCAAAATACTCAATGACGTCGAAATTCTGGAATTCTTATTTAGGGTGTCTCTCTATATCCTCGCCACTATCAAGAACGCTGATCGCGGTTAGTACTTGGATGGGGGACTAAATTTCATCGCCTACGTTCAAAAATAAGAAAACAAGTATTAAATAAACATAGGCCGTAAGGGTTCGTGATCAAGAGCCTGTAGCTCTCATAAGAATCATTTTCAGACCTTGATGTTTCTTGCAACTTTTATTCTCATTTTTGAATGAAGAATTATGATAATTATTGGGTCTATGGCGGCTATGGACAGAACCGCTCCTCTCGATAGTAATGATTCTATGAGACGTTCGCTAGTGTCCTATACAACTGATCGCATCCAATGCTTCCAAACGTTTCGCCGATACTATTTGTATCTTCAGTACAAGTGCAAATGCCTCGTATCGACTGAAAGAACCCAAATACTGTACCTGCCAACATGGCGGGCGATGTAGATGTTGAATCCGAGTCGCTCGATAAAAAGTGTAAAATTTGTAATGAAACAATTAGTAGAGGTGGTGTAAAATGTTCTACTGCAAAATGTAATGTGCTCCTTCATAGTAAATGTTTTGATTTAGTGGCAAAAGTGGTTTTTATTGAGAAAAAAACTTGGAAATGCAGAACGTGCAGCGAAAATCTTAGAGGTCAATGTTCTAATAGCAGCACGGAAGTAACCTTACTACAAAAGGAAAATGAGTGCCTAATTCGGGAAGCTGAGATGTCAAATAAGCGCATAAGTGATTTGGAATATATAGTTAACCTACAGAAATCGCTAGTGGATGCCATTAAATGTAAAGAAATAACTCCGAGTGGCGATAATGAAAAAGCAAGGTCGAGCAGTTCTTATAGCGATCAACTCAGAAAAACTGTAAACAAATCATCAGTATTAGTAATTAAATCGAACGACAAATCTATAGACAACAAGAGAATAGAAAAGGACGTTAAATCAGCAATAAATCCCGGTTCTATTAATATTAATGTCAAAAATACGAAATTAATAAGGAATGGTATATTAATAAACTGTGAAGATAAAAATTCTTGTGATAAATTAAAAAACAGTCTAGAAAACACAATTGGATTTAATTATGATATAAATGAACCTAAGAAACGTAATCCTCGTATATCAGTGCATAATATTAAAGCAGGAGACTTAGAAAGTGGTGAGTTTATAAAAACTATTTTTCTGGACAATAACTTGTCAGCAGGAGATGAAGATATAAAGTTTATTGTTAAACTAAAATATAAATCTGTTTATAATGTTATTCTCGAAGTCGTACCAAGGCTATTCAAATGCATTTTGGCAAAGGGATATTTATATATAGGTTGGGAAAAGCATAATGTAAGGGAGCATCTGAATTTGCCGCGTTGTTTTAAATGTTGTCAGTTTGGACATTTAAAAAAAGATTGTAGAAGCTCACAGATCATATGTCGTAAGTGTTCGGGGACGCATGATATTACAGACTGTAATTCCGACATTGTTTGTTGTGTAAATTGTGTAAATTTTAATAGGATGTTTAAATATAATGTTTCAACTGATCATACCGCAAATAGTCACTTATGTACGTCATATAAATTTAAGTTAGATCAATTAAAAAGTAGAATTAATTATGATTAGCATACATACTAAAAATAAGTTAAAAATTGCCCATTTGAATACTCAATCTTTGTTTCCTAGCTTTGACCATTTTACAGATTTAATTTTACAAAATGATATCGATATAATGGGTGTTACCGAATCTTGGCTGCATGAAGATACCCCGACATATATTTTAAATATTCCAGGTTTTAGTTTTTTGCGCAAAGATAGGCGAGGGAGAGGAGGAGGCGTCGGAGTTTACGTAAGTGATAGGATAGGTTACAAACAGGTTCTGCATGATTTTTGTGATGTCGATGGAATTGAAACTATGTGTGTAGAGTTTAGAATCGGGGAACTCATTTTGCTTCTGTGTGTGGTTTACAGAATTCCTGGAAAACGTATTGATATATTTATAGAATATTTGGACAATTTTTTATCTTATGTTGTACCTCAATATGATAACATAATAGTTACAGGAGATATAAACATTGATCAGTTCCATCCTAATCCTTTTGCAGACTGTATTTCATCATATAATGTTACACAATTAATATCGGAACCTACTAGAATTAACCAGACGTCTCAAACCCTTATAGATGTGATCTGTGTTACCAACACAGATTTGATATCGTCCTCAGGAACTATTAATACCGATTTGATATCTGACCACCGAGCAGTAGTTTGCGACCTGGTCGTGACATTTCCAAAGTATGAGGCTCAAACTATTAAATGCAGAAATTATAAAACATTCAATTACGAACATTTTCTGGTGGATCTTAATCATATTTGTTGGAATAACATTTTTTATATAAACGATATCGATGGCAAAGTAGATTTTCTCGCGGAGAATATTTTATCATTGTTTGACAAACACGCACCTTTCATTACAATACGGGTTTCCAAGCCAGTTGCACCTTGGTATACCGACGTAATTAAACAGATGAAGCATGAAAAAGATAAGGCATTGAGTCGATATAAAAGAAACCGAACTATCGAAGGCTGGATATATTATAAGCAAATACGTAATCTCCTAGTACAAGCAATAAAACGCGAAAAGGCTGCATTTTTGACATACAATGCAAATCGTATCAACAGTAAGTATATGTGGAAAGCTCTAAGGAGACTAGACATTAAACAGAACCGATCATCTGAGATTCCAATAAATTTGAGTAATGTTGACCAAATAAATAATTATTTTACCTCAGTGTATAATACCCCTAATAGTTGCACGGAAACAGCTACGCAATATTTATCACATAAATATAATCCGGATTTGCATTTTGACTTTCGGTTGGCCGCTGTGTCAGATGTAAACGCAATTATTCATAACCTGAAATCAAATGCTTGTGGAAGTGACAACATAAACGCTTATATGCTGCAACTATGTTCTCCCGTTATATGTAAGCATATAACTCATATTATGAATTGTTGTATAGAGTCTCAATATTTTCCCCTTGCATGGAAAACTACCATTATTACTCCATTACCGAAAATTAAGACTCCGCAAAACTTTAGTGACTTACGACCAGTTAGTATTATAACCACATTGTCAAAAATTTTGGAAAAACTCATTCAATACCAAATAAACAACTTTATTATAGAAAACAACATTATTTCAGATTTACAATCGGGTTTTAGAAAGGGACATAGCACGGTAAGTGTACTAGCAAATATCACAGATGAAATATTAAAATCTTTGGATAAGGGATTCGCATCGGCCTTAGTTCTGCTTAATTATTCTAAGGCTTTTGATACGGTAGATCATTCTCTTTTGTGTGCGAAATTGAGCTATTTTGGTTTTGATAAAAAATGTATATACTTTTTTAAATCATATCTAGCAAATAGACACCAAATTGTAAAACTAAACAATAATTTTTCTCAAATATCTAAAATTAGTTCCGGAGTTTTTCAGGGGTCGGTGCTCGGACCTGTCCTATTTTTAATATATACAGCGGATATTTTTGAAAATATAAAATTTGCCAAAGCCCACTGTTATGCAGATGATACACAGTTATTCTCTTCTTTTCATCCAAAATATATTCAAGCGGTAGTAGGAAATATTAATAAATATCTTAAATCACTTGAGGCATATTCGAAAAATCACAACTTAAAACTGAATGCTAGTAAATGTGCTGTGATTTGCTTCTGTAACGGAAGACATAGAGAATTTGTTAAAACTAATATGAGATTGGTTTTGTCTGATACAGTGTTGCCAATTGAGTGTAGACTGAAAAGTTTGGGTATAATATACGATGAACATTTAAGGTTCAAAGAACACGTCAGCTTGCTTGTAAAAAAATCATATGTGGCTCTAAAACTCTTGTATAACAACATAAATATAATTAATTTCAAATTAAGGAAAAAACTGTGCGAATCATTAGTGATGTCTGTGCTAAATTATGGCAATATTATATACTATAGTGCGTTAAACTGTTACACTAAGAATCGACTTCAAAAAGTACAAAATAGCTGCTGTAGGTACATATACCGTTTGCGTAAATATGATCGAGTTTCGGATAGAATAAATAATCTCCAGTGGTTACGAATGGAAAATATTTTTAAATACAATGTATCTGTTTTTGTTCATCGTATTTTAACTACTTGTTCCCCGACCTATCTGCGTGAAAAGCTGATATACCGACACAACGTTCATAGTAGAATTTTGAGATGTACAAATAATAATTTATGTTTGCCTTAGCCAAATTTCGTGCATCTTTTATTTACAATGCGGTTAAAATTTATAATAATATAAGAGACGATGTAAAACTATGTTCAGTAGTCAAATTTCGTAAGAAGGTCAAGGCTGAACTCCTTCTATTTCAACAAACATTTTAACTGTTTTTGTTTCTTTTTCTTTTATTTCCTGGCGATTGATCATTTGAATTTTTTTCTTTTTTTATGCGCTTAACCTCACCATTAAATTAAATTAAATTTTGTTGTATTGTAATTTAAGTATATATGTACCTGTACTAATATATGTTTTCTATTTTAAGATGTAATGTATAAATTGTAGCTGTATTGATGTAACTGTTCTTCTAAAGGGTTGAGTAGATTAGCCACGGCTAGACTCCGCCTTTAGGAAATGTATTTGTACCTGCTTATATACACATTTTCTAATAAAGACATTTATTATTATTATTATTCACACTGGGACACCCTGTATAGACATTAGGAGGTGGACGAGCACCGCGAACCTTTCCCGAGTGGTAGTAACCCATCTAAGTACTAACCGCAATCAGCGTTGCTTGACTTTTCATATCAATGACATGAATTATCAAACAATTGAATAAATAAAAAATAACTTTGATACTATTCGGTACACATAAAAACTGTATACTATTTTTTTTTGTGTTCCAATTAAGTAATTACCTGAAAAATAGTGAGGGGGGTATATCGTGCCAATAGTTTTTTTTTTGGATATTTGATGTATATGTTAGTAGGTATATAATAATTTATTTCAAACNGTCATAGTCAGGGATGGAGGTACGGGATGCCTCGCTGAGGTAGGTCTCCTGGACAGCCATAACGTCTATGTTTAGACGCTTCAAGATGTCCACAAGTTCTATTTTTTTGGCCCGGAGCCCGTCAAGGTTCCAGGACGAAATTCTCAGCGAGGAGGGTTGGGAAGGCCGACGAGCCATTAGAAGTCGAATAATTTTTGCATATTCGACATCAAGGTCGTCAGCTGGACGCAGAAGTCCTGAAGACGCTTTGTTGCGTCAATCAGGGCCGCCGCACCCGGTTGGGAGGGTGTCGTGTCTGTGTGTGCGTGTGGTGAGGTGTTGTGTTTTTGTTTTTGTGTGTTTTGTGTTTTTCTGGTCATGTCAGCGTATGTGCGTCCTGGGGTTGTGTTTGGGGTGGGTAGGAGGGGCTGTCTGTGTGTTTGTGTAGTGTTTTGTGTCGTGTGTGTGTCTGTGTTTTGTGTTTTTGTGTTTTTAGCTTTGGGGTACTGAGGGCACCCCATATAGCTGGCGGGGTGTGGCCCGGCGCAATTTGCACACCTGGCGGGCGTGTCTTTGGCCTTTTTGCATACGTGCGTGCTGTGGTTTTCGCCACATTTTACGCACTTTGGCTCAGCTGTGCACCGGGTCTGGCCGTGGCCGAACCGCTGGCACCGGTGGCACTGTGTGGCAACCCGCTGCTTTCGCTGCAGCTCTACTCGAACCACGAGCGAGCAGCAGCGGGTTACCTTCAGGATGTCCTCCTGGTCCTGTGGGGCCTGAACTAGGACCAGGGGCATTTCCTGTTTATTTTGACGGCTCGCCATGCGGTGCACTATTGCGCCGGGGAACCCTTGTCTTGCGAGGTCGAGTTGGACCTCACTTGGCGAAACACCCGCAGGTATTCCGCGTATCACCACCCTCAGCGTTTTTTCTTCGCTGAGGGTGAAGGTGTGGTACTCCTCGCCTTTGTCTGTCAGTGTCTTTGTCAATAGTCTGTGGTCATTAGGTGTGTTTGGGTATATGGCTATACCGTCTTTAGTCAATTTGGCTTTTGT